TACTTAAATTACTGTCTGAGTTTTTTCTCTAAAGGGAGAAATGAGGTTAGGTTTGGAAAAGATAATAAATTTCTATTTGATAATGATTAAAATCACAAGATGTTCTGGTAATAGGCCAGACATCATCAATAACATTCACCTCAGGCTCAATGAATTGAGAGATTGTTTCGAATGTTCGGAAAAAAGGCCTTTAAAGCTATAGCTTTTCTTTTTTATTTTTTTACAATGTTTCTTTTATTCATTAATAAAAAATTATTTATACAAAACAAACTTGTCCACACCATGATAATAAGCTCTAATATTTCTCATAAAATAATAATTTTTTGTTGGAAAAATACAATTCATTAAATTGAAATTATTTTTTAATTTTTATTATTTAATTTTTTTTTTATTCATCAATTATTAATCAGAATAAAAATTATTTGCTGATAGAATATTTGAAAAAATTATTCCAATTTGATTATTACAAATAATGCATTCAGATCATCAATTATCAGTATTACTGATGTGAGAATAAATTGAACACCATTCTATAACTCATTAAAAACAATAACATGAAGCCCATTATAAAATGAATATAGATAATATTGACCTATTGCAACATTTCTTTAATATTAAGATTACCACTCGCAATTGTTCATCTTATTTACTATTTTATTCACACTTCAACATCGACAGAATATCTCTAGTAGTAATTTCCAAGAATCTTGAAAGATTTATCATGTCCTCCCACTTCACAATAATCATCCAAATTACTATATAATGACGTCGTAAGTTGCTTATGTAATTTTCCGTAATCGAGTTGAATCGGTTGTTTGAGGTTTAGATAATAGCGAAAATTGTCTTAGAGATCCTAATAAGTATACATTGCAGTCAATATAATATAATAGGTGGATGTATTTTATTAAATTATTTTTTCATGTCTACTATGCCTCATAGATCATCAATCATCATAGGTATTATATTTTACAAACGACGTTTTGGCCTTATTAGATACTATAAAATCCAAATAAAAAAATTACAATGATCTTAAGAAGCTAATTATGCTTCCTACATTTCAGAGGTATTGTAAATTATAAAGTTGAGTAAAATTAAATCAACAACGCCTTGAGGCTTTCAATAAAAATGATTTTAAATGTACCTATTAATTCAATTGTGAGCAATAAATTTAAACAGTTGAGTATAGATTTGATGATTATGAGAAATAATGATATTCATAATTGATATTAGCAGTGATGATGATTTTTGCTATTGATAATGGAGCAGTAGGTAGTCAGTGAATGATGGTAACCTGCTTTAGATTGATTTATATATAAATGAATTCATATTTCAGCAGAGTATCATTATTAATACACATATGAATTCCAAGTTAATGCATTTCAGTAATATAATCCTGCATCATCCATTTGATATTACTCAATGACTTGGATCCAGTGACTAAGCATGTAAAGTGTATGAAGTATCATTCGTTTTTACACACATTGATAAATGAATAAAACTTCATGATTAATTCGTTGATTTTTGCTTCAATATTGATTCCTGTATCAGAATAAAAATTGATTAAACAGAAATGTGTTCTAATCTCAACAATCAGAAAAGGTTGTCTAAAAGTTGGAGATAAATGTAAGCAGATGTATGACCCTGTATTATTTTTTATTTTCAAATTAATCTTTTTGATTTAAGAACGAGTGCGTTAAAATCCACATCTAGTGTACTTTGTAAAAATGTGTGCTTTGCAGACGTACCCACAAAACCGTAAACACATGGTGGACCAGCAAAAAAGACCTTTTACCATGTACACCTGCTGGTATCATAAAAGACAACGATATTATAATTGAAATGAATTGTAAGTTTCTTGCAGTTATCCACATGCATGCTTACAAGAGCTCATTAAGGCTTGGTGAAATTATAAAACTTGCTACTTTGACTCTGTCTTGACCTTTAAACTTTCGTGAGTGGACTTTTGGATGTATCATAGAAATGTAATGCTTACATTCATCTTCAACTTCTAGACCACCTCTAGATATCAACTCAATTAAACATTATATACCATCTGTACAGTTCAATTTTTAAGAATCAATATTTTAAATATCTTCAACTTTATTTGCAGAAGTAACTTCCAAATTGTTTTAATTTATTTTGAAATGTTGAACTTATTTTTTGAATATAATGAAAAAATTATCAAAATTAAAAACTTGCAAACTTTAAATTGGCATTTTATTAGTAATAATGAAAAGTGGGTGTCTAAGTATGCTCATGAATACAACAGCCATAGAAAATCCCACAGCTCGATGAATTAAAAAACACACACAGGGGAACTATAACAGTTTTCTTGGGGTAATTTAGGGATGAAGTAGACTTGAAAACGAATTTACGGAGAAAGAAGAAACAAAGAAAAAGCAAATGGTTAGGCATTTAGCCCTCATGATACCTGTTGATTTTGAGAGAAAAAGATGAAACTGTATCACTGTTTAACATGCATAAAATCAAAAATATCCCATTTCAAGTTTATGGGCAATTTAATAGTGAAAAATCAGCAAACATTTCATAGCTATCATTGATCAAGAATACACCTGCCTATCAAAGTTGCATTTTCGAAGTAATAGCCATGTTATTTTTCGCTTTATAATGAAGGTGAGTAAATACGAAAATTGGATGAAGAGTGAAGTTTAGTGAAGTTAATCTTCATATAAGAGTTGATAAAAAATGGTGGAATAAAGAAGAAGCAGAAGAGAGCAGAGAACAGTGGCAATAAAACTAAAAACGATAAAGAGGAAAAAAAAAGGAAGATGGAATTAGAGTTGAACCTGAGAGAATATTTTGATCGACAGACAACCGCAGAAGTTTTGATCAGGATCAGTCAGGTACACGCCACCAATAATCATCGTTCCGGCCGCTATTACCGTGCCGGAGGCGACCAATCATCGTGACTCGAGTTTCATTGGTGCCTGCCGCTATATGCAGCAGCGCACTATTATTAGAGAGTATTATTGTAATAAGCCGCCATGCTTAGCCAAGTTCCGGTGACCAACCAACATGTGTCATGATGATAAAGACAGCAGGAATAAAAAAAATCGCACAGCCATGAGATTCTTTCATAACTGTTGGATATTCTATATAATTTCTATATGCAGCAAAATATCATTCTGGACATTATATTACTTTTTTTTTTAATCATCTGACAAGAGTATCAGTTAGATTTCGAATAACTTACAGACAGTCCAGAGTATTAATAAAATTGCATGCTTTTATTTTTTATGCTTTAGGCAAGTTATGCTTTTTTGGTCTGTTTTATTTGCTGTGGAGGATATAAGTTGCAAGTGTGAGTTAAAAAAAATAATGCTAGGTGGACTGCATGTCAAAAGCCATTAATATTGAAGTGCAGCAGCATACTATCATTAAGGAATATTTCAGTAATAAGGCTTTATACTTGGGTAAATTGTGTGGATTTATTCAGGTCTTTTCTGACAATATATGAGCAAGCTTGGGAATTGGAGTAACTTGAAGGAGGCAATAAAACGTATATTACAAAAAAGGAAAGAATTAATGTTGATTGGAAAATAAATTGTTTTTTTATCAAGGTTGGAGAGTAAGTCAACATTGAAATGATGGAGTTTTTATTATGTTGAAGTTATTTTTTGTGTAAGATAATCATAGTTGATGTTCAAGCATATAAAATGTTTGTAAAAGATGGTATATTATGTATAGAAGTCAAGTAAACATTGTTAGAAAACTTTAAGTAGATTTTACTTTAATTAGCTGTTAAGAAATTGATTACAAAGTTTGCTTTTTTGTAGTTTTAAAGCATCTTGCATTTTTTTAGCAAAAAGTTTTACTTGTATTAAATGTGATTAGCGAATTAAACTGTGAACCAATACAATATATATTTTCTCGTTCTTTCGAAAAATTTGCCCTCATGATTGGAAAAGAAATGATAAAAAACTCTATCAGTTTTTTGGATTGTAGAAAAAAGCTATTTTAGATAATTCATTGTAAAGGACTATGTAGTCGATGGTTTTACTTCATCCTTAGTTCATAAATAAAGCTACAGAATTGACCTTTGTAGAATGTTGTTGTTGGATACGTATCAGAGATTTGTGTGAGATTTGTGATAAAGACCAGTTGAGAATGTTGAAGTATGTGTCTTTTCAAGAGTTGGAACAAGATTCAAAGCTTTGAAGAGGAATTGGTAGGTTTAATTGAAGATTCAACGAATAATTTCAATCATGTTAAAAAAAATTGAAAATTCTCATTATAGCGTATTTCAAATGCTAGAGAAATAATCAATTTCGAAATACTCATTTTTTGGAGTTATAAATTCTGTATGCGAGTTGATAAATTTGTCGGAAGAAGTAAATTTATTCAAATAAAAATTTGAATAAGAACAAAATATATTTATAAGCTTCCTTAGTGGATAATAATACATACAAAACTCGAATCTAACTAAACGTTAATGTTTACAAATGTTAAAATAATAATTCGACTTAAGTTTGAGGAAGTCAATTGATACACGCAGAGAAATGTATAGTAAAAATTACCCTAAATTTTATGGTAGTTTGGTGACACTGCAGGGTGACGATAAAAATTATTATACACATTGTAAAAATTACTGTGCACATTGTTGAATTTACTGAAATGCATAGTTATTCTTGCTCTAATTTCACCCTAAAAATTATTATGCATTTCAGTAAATTCAACAATGTGCACAGTAAATTTTACAATGTGTATAATAATTTTTATCGTCACCCTGCAGTGTCACCAAAGTACCATAAAACTGAGGGTAATTTTTACTATACATTTCTCTGCGTGAAGGACAAAATGAAATTAATGCATCTCCAAATTTCATTACTATAAAATTCATAAAATTATTCCTCTTTTTTGTTTCAGAAGTGAATTTACAAAAAAAACGAACACTCACGGCCTTTAGCAGTGATCAGTTACGAGTACTTAAAAAAGAGTTTAAGACTAATCGTTACTTGTCCAAACTCCGACTGACTGAAATGGCGCGAATTTTGAACTTGCAGGAGCAACAAATCAAAGTTTGGTTTCAGAATCGTCGAATAAAGCGGAAAGAGGAGATCGATGATAAAGAAATTGGACAGAGACAAACATCGAATGTACCTGCCATACACGTTGCGCCGCCAAATTACATCGTGCCTGTAACTTCAAGGAACTTCCGGGCTCCGATGCAGGCTAATCACTCTTATGTAAATGCTCACATCACTGCAATGAAGATTCTGGAGCAAGCAAACCAACAGAAGAATCAGCAAACACCGCAACACTACACTCGACGCGTTTCGATCCTACTACCACTAGAGCAACGGCAGTGGAGATCGTGTCATTACAGTTCACCAAATGTAGCGGCCGAACATCAATTCGTCAACCAAGAAGCTGTCATTCAATCTCATCATCATCAAACATGGCAAAAGTACCATGAGAAGCAGCAGGAATCAACTCTTCGTGATCAGAATAATTTTGATGAATGGATGCTGGACAACACTGTAAATCTCAGTTTTCCAAATTGCATTATTTTAATGCGGATAAGTATGTTAAATATGACGTCACCCATTTAATTAACATTGTAGTCACTTTTTACACACTTAGAAATGCATTAAAAGTGACTACAATGTTAATTAAATGGGTGACGTCATATTTAACATACTTATCCGCATTAAAATAATGCATTTTGGAAAACTGAGATTTACAGTGAATTCTTATGTGACTTATATAAAAAAATAAATAGAACTAATTTTAAATTAAAGACATTGTTATGATCTTATTTCTACATTGAATATCAATCTTACTATTATTATTTTCAATAAAATATGAAAATTAAAAAAAAAAATTAAATATCACCATTTTACTTTATAATCATACTGTTATCTAGGATATTGGTTTTGCAAACTATTCGCTATAAATCACATTATATTACCATTTTACAATTTTCATTTCCTTCCTCTTCAAGAAAAAATTGAACTCTGCAGTTAAAAAAAAATATTAAGAAGTTAAAAAAAAATGATTTTACAAAACCAGTGAAATGATATGGATCAATGTACTAAACGTTGTAAGAGAGCTGAGCTGTAATTGATATCATCGGATGAAAAAGCAGGAGTGGGGCATAGAGGAATTACACGAGGAGTTCTCTTTTCCTGCGGGGGGGGGGGGAAGTGCGGAGAGTATCGAGAGCGCTAATGTTCCCCAGGCAGGAAATGCTGTCTCCATCCCGCACGTTCTATCTCTTCGCTCACTCGTACGCTCACTCGCCTATTTTTATTCGCCTTTATCTGTGAGACTCGAGTCGGTTCCTCTCCATTTCCTCTTGAGAAGAGTTTCTCAACAGCTCCCTTGCTGAAGGGACCACCCTCCGCGTCGCTCGCTTGCTCCTGCACCCCTATACTACCCTCAAGCTATCCAATGCGATGGCTACAACATGCAAACATTCTGTTATTTGCAATTCGAATACCGTCAAATGAAACTCGTTGTTGTGGAGAGGTATACAAAACAGTCTGAAAAAGAGAAGTTTAAAAAATATTAAAAAACGAAAGGTGCGACATACTGGAGCTTATTTCTATATTGAAAGCTTTTGAAAATAAAGATACGACTGTTAAAATATCTTTTGTGGTGAAAATTATAGTTATTTGCATTTTTTCATCTCTACAACCAGGTATTATTTACCATCATATTAATAATAAATTAATACTTTCCTTCGATAATATTTAATCAATAAAGTTACGGTCCTGTAATTCATATTTATTTTAACTGTTTTCGAAAATTAGATTAATTTAATTAACATTCAAAATTTTTAATATTTTAAATAAATAACAATTTGTCTCTTCAAATTGAGGGGGAAAAAAAAGTAAGAAAGAGAAGTATTGGCGTAATTTATTCCACTGTTATAGCATTATTTTTATCATTATCATTACTGTAATAAAACAAAGAATCAGAAATGATTATTATTAAAGTGTTAGAGTACATGTGTATGTGTAACCTAAGCAACAACCGAGGAACAGACTTATCATTCTTTCATGATCTTTTCATATTATGTACGCAATGGAGCCAGTATCTGTAGAATCGCGTCGCATGTCAGGGAATTGACTGTATATAATAATTACGTATACCTGTTATTATCGTCCGAAGGTGTAATAGTCCTATGTCACGGAAGCAATCGGTTATTATTATCATTATCATCTCTTTTTCAAACTTGGGTATTGTACATTATTTATTTTTTTTATATCTACTAGATATTTTCTCATCCTTCAAATACAAAATAGCTTTAATAATTATTCACTTAACACTGATAAATTATCTTTAATTAGATAACAAACAATGTAACGCATATTTATTAACAAAACAATAAGATTTATTTTATCTGATGACGATGAAAATCATTGATAAATCAAAAAATGATTTGTTCATATTTAAAAGTATATTTTTTTTAATAAAAAATTTCTATATTTTAAAGACATGAAAATATTGGAAACTCGAGTAGAAAAATTGACTTTACTTGACTGAAGTTGACATGAAAAAAATATTTATGCTTTTAAAATGAAGTGCATCATGACTCCCCTTGCTATATTTCAACTTTCATGTTGTATTTCTACAGCAGACTAATTTTTTTTTTGTATCTGTATCTTTTGTTTTAATATGTAGCTCACGGTGATTTCAAACAAAGCATAAAGTGGAGAGTCTATTTGACACAGATCCTGCGTCTCGACCTGCGTTAGTGCGCTTCCGGTGTAACGGATTTATAATTGTGTCACTAGTCTAACAATTCGTTGACCGTCGTCTCTCACCTTGAATTTGAAATCTAGAATTTCCGCTTTGTATTTACATAATAATATTTTTCCTCATTACAAATACTGTTGATCATAAATAGAAGATTTTTTTTATTACTTAAAAAATAAGTTGAAACATTTTGTATTGATTTTTATTTTTTTTTTAAAAACACTTGGATTTCATTTACGTAGATTTATGTTACTTATTATATAAATAAATTTAATGACCCTCCTATCTTTTTCAACCTTGTTGCGAATTAAATGATTAATTCGAATACTAGATAAACTGATACTATTAAACTACAGTCTAAAATATTCTAAAAATTTTTATTCAACAAAAAAATGAATGCTTTCATGATATCAGAATAAAAATGACTTAAAAAAATGTAAAAATTGGTAACTATGGTCACGAAACTTACGTGAGCCGTGGGCGTGATACGTGACACGCTTCGGTGAGGAGAATACTGACCAACCAATTCACAGTGAAAGTTCACCCTAATATTGTGTACGATACTCGGTAGATGTTCTTGGTCACGTGACTGATAGGGTTCCATATCAATTCGTGATGTTAAGTACGAATTCGCGTGTTTACATATTTATCAAAATATTACCGCCATTTTCTACCAACCATTGTCATCATTGCTTTAATTTTAACATCAATAGGATTTTGTCGTATTGAAAACAGCGTCTAGACGTTGGTAATATATATTATCTTTTTAAATTTTTTTTTAAATCATAATTATTTATAACAGGAAAAATCCTTGCATGTTATTTTTTGTTATTCTTGTAGCATTTAAATTTTAAAATCATTATTTTATCGGAAATATTTTGTTTTTAATCATGATAATATTCTGTGATAAAACTTTTAACTCTGAATAAAATATTATTCTCAACAATTGAATCTTCATAACTTCCGGACACGAAAAGATTTAATTATTTCTCTTATCAGTTTTTTAATTTTTAAATTATTTAATAACCACGCAACAATAAAAATTATTTTAAAAAAATTCTTTTATTGTTAATAAAAAATATGCTGTCATTGAAAATATTTTTTTTTCATCTTCGTTTCTTGTGTAAATTAAAATTCGTATGAGAAAAAAGCGGAGTAAGCCTGATTATAGTTTTATATGACATTTTTTTCCCAGGTTATAAATCTAATATTTTCTAATTATTTTTTTTATGAGTCGTATCGAAAGATTGTATTGCACAATTTACACTACCAGAGATTTTCGAAGTGTGTTCAAGTAATTCACTTTACACATATTCAATGTTTAATTTATCAATTAGCAAATTATGAATATAACGTACCATGGAGACATTATATTTAGAAAAGTTTGATTTAGTGAATGTTGCGAGACCGCAAGAAGCAACAAGAGACTCGGAAGAAGTTCGTAAAAAATTTTTAGAGACTTTATATGACTACAGTTACATATATATGTATAAATTTTATTATGAATGTAATAACAAAAATTCAAAAAAGTACATAAAATTTATTATACGTACACATTGAGAATGACCAGTGTTATTAATGACACAAGTCTACCTCATGAAATTCATTACCCAAACACTTAATTATGTACGCAGGCTCGTTCATTATGAGAGTAGCCGACAGAAGACAAGATACACGTTGTAAGGCCATAACGAATCAATCTTTTGATCAAAGAAATCCTCCAAATACGCGCGGCTACCTCACAGTAAAGCCGTAAAGAGCTGACTTTTATTTGTATATACCTCCTACATAAAGTATAGCAAAAAAAAATTTTTTTAATAATACTAAAAATTTTTGATATATATTCTAGGAGCAAAGATTTAAAAAAAAAAGTGCGTTGTTTTTGATTGCTGCTTTGCTGCAGCATAACTCAGTTTCCTGCTAAAAACTTAGGATCTATAATAGTCCAGTAACGGTGCAATTAAAAATAGGGGTATTAGCGAATTTGACCTTTCATTTTAAACTGAGGTTATTTTAATGTAAAATTGCACGAGGATTCTGAAAAAACTATTCGCAGGAAAAAATAATGTACACGTCATTGAGTTTTTTTGTTATAAACAATTTTTGCCTGCTCGAGCCCTCACATTTTCATTAATAACTTTGCAGTTATGGAGAAATCAACGATACTTAATAGGACATTTTTTGTTCTTTACCGTCTAACGAAGATTTCTGTCACCTCACTCTTCTTTTTTTCTGCCTATTTTTCGAGATATTCGATTTCAAAAAATAAAAAAGATCGTGCTAACTATTTTACAGTTATCATGCCAATTTGTCGGTATTACAGAATTCTTTCTAATCGATCTCAAAACGATTTCTGAGTATCAAAAAATCTAATCATTTTTCTTCTTTTCATATGTCTTAAATTATTTATTGTCAATTAAAGACTTTCATTTAAATTTTTCTTCAGATTTTGTTAATCTCATACTAAGAAATCGTTTTGAGATCGATTAGAAAGAATTCTGTAATACCGACAAATTGGCATGATAACTGTAAAATAGTTAGCACGATCTTTTTTATTTTTTGAAATCGAATATCTCGAAAAATAGGCAGAAAAAAAGAAGAGTGAGGTGACAGAAATCTTCGTTAGACGGTAAAGAACAAAAAATGTCCTATTAAGTATCGTTGATTTCTCCATAACTGCAAAGTTATTAATGAAAATGTGAGGGCTCGAGCAGGCAAAAATTGTTTATAACAAAAAAACTCAATGACGTGTACATTATTTTTTCCTGCGAATAGTTTTTTCAGAATCCTCGTGCAATTTTACATTAAAATAACCTTGGTTCAAAGTGGAAGGTTAAATCAAATCAAAAGTAGATGATTTTTTGACCCTTACTTTGAATTTGGGTCTCTATAACTCGTGAAAAAATTATCAGACGATGATTTTTAAAAGGTGTTGAGAAACTTTAGAATTTAAGCAAAAGATACGAATCCATAAAAATTGTTTAAAAAATTTATTTCACCCTCAAAATTACCAAAATAGTTGGCAAACTCCTAAAAAAATGTGATTTTTTTTTATATTTTAGCGATTTCAAGAGTGAAAGAAATTTTTTAAATACTTTTCATAGATATGCATGTTTAGTTTAGATTTTTAGATTTTTAAAGCGGTCCTAAAAACAGTTATTGAACTGTCCGTTCATGAGTTATAGGGGTTTA